TGTTAGACCTAACCATACAACTCATGTAACTTATTTTAAAACTGAAAACATATGAATATTTTAAAATAACATACTTTCTCATCAATTAAGTGTAAAGCATCGTAAGACATTTCTGCTAAGGTCTAGAATGTACCTTATCTTCAAGCAGATTTTTTTCAAAGTTTGTTACCTTTAATGCTAAACTGTTTTGTTCTGCTTTACATGCCGTTTCAAGTGTGAAGGTGATTTGGAATTTTAAAACTGGTGAGATAATAAAATGTGAATAATTAAGAGCAAGTTGTACTATATATGGGTGCTTTCTGAATACAATATAACATCAATATCACAAATTACATTAGTAATAAGAAAAAAGTAATCAAATGCATTTATAAACTATAAGGATAATGATAGTTTAATAATAGCTAATGTTTACTAAAGTTCAGAGCTATGTGTTTTACTTGAATTATCTCAACTCATTAAATCAGTAAAATAATACAAAGAGGTGAATATCATTACTACAGCCATTTTATAAAAGAAAACCTGAGGTTTAGATGAAGCAACTTGCCCAGCCATTCAACTAAGAAGCCCAATTTTTGTACCTCTGTACTCTGAGCCTCTCTTCCCCGGCCCCTCCTCCTCAGCATACCAACAGCCAAGTCCTATTTTACAGTTAGTCTCCTCCGCCTTCAAGCCACAACTCCATCACTCTCCCTCCTTTTCTAGTATTAAAATATAAGACCATACATTGCTTTCTATAGCACCTATTCACTCCCTAACTTCCCAGTCAGATCAGCAGCAGCCAGCCTGGGCTCTGCCTCAGTACCCTCTTGTTAAATCCTTTGCTATGTCTGGGGATTGCCTGGCTAAATAACAGCAATTATATTGTACCCATATTATTGCATCCCATACCACAGTCCTATCTGAGTTCATGAAAGGTTCTAGTCACCTTTGAAGGGTTTTGAGTGCCTAACATGGTCAAAGATGTGCTTAGAAAATAATATGCTTTTAATTGTGCATAGAAAGACTAGAAATTAAAAGAAATAAGAGGAAGAACTGTATAAATGTGAAATATTTCCAACTACCTCTGGGGTCCCTGCTCAGTTGGTTCTCCCTCTGACCTTCAGTCTTTGAAGAGCTAGTGACATGTCACTAGGCTTTATTTGTCATATTCTTAAATCCTAGAGACTTGCTAATTCTGCTTCACCAGAGGTAGCCAGCCTTGCCTGGCTGGTTAGTTCATGAGAAGAGTAGAGGTGAAGGGTTATGCAAGATCTTCATAACAAGCTTAAATTAGGCAAACTTTCAAAGATGAACACATATTTATACTGAGCTGCTTTTTGCATTTGGCAACAGTACACAAGAGGCAGAGTTGGGGAGAGGAGGAACTGCATGTCTCAGCAAACATCACTTGGCAGTTTCAGTGACACGTGCCACCATGTTCTGCTTAGCAAAGCTGGGTGCATGACTGACTAGCTGGCAAGACACAGTGCTTGGCACTGTGGAATGAGTACTCTTTGGCACTCTTTTTCTTATGGACACATAATGAAGCTCTAAAATGTGGGCTTAACTCTACACTTAAATGAAAGAGTAGATGTAAAAATCCTTTTCTGAAAATCTTTTGCCAGCCCCATATTGTCTGTAGCATAAAATCCAAATCACCTGGCAGGGAAATGAGGGCTCTGGGACCTAACGCTAAAGGCTACCTGGGCACCCTCACTGCTCAACCAGCCTAGTAGTGCCCCAGACAGTCCTTCAATTGCATCCAAACTCCAGCTCAAGCCTCAAATGCCACACTCTGGCAAACCCTGCAACTCTCCAAGTCCCAGCTCAGACCAAGCTGGCCTCCTCCTACACAGCCTGCCCCGAGTCCCCAGGCAGATCAGGACAGCCATTTCCTTCAGTGCTTTCCTCAGCATGCCATTATATAGTCACTCATCATTCTGTATCATTGTTTTGCACCTATCATTTCTCCTGTATCAGTTATTTGAAGGCAGAAGTCCTGTCACTTCATCTGTGTCCCCAGCAAGCAATTTGTAATAGCAAATTGCTAGTATTTAGGATTACTTAGTAAAACCCTATTGAAAAAATATCCCTCAAAAGCTTTGGCTGCAAAATTCTACAGAAGCTACCATCACCATAGTCCCCAGTGGCCTCCTTGCTTCTGGCTTTCATTCTTTCTCATTTATCTTTCATGCTGAGTATTTTACAGTCCATTCTCCAGAGGTCCTCTGGCTTCCAGGAGATTCCTTGCTGCTTTCCATTGTCCTCCTGTCTTCTCTGCCCACACCCACTGGTGGGCCTCTCACCTTCCTTGCTGCCTCCACTTGTGCTCTCAGAGTGGTGACACTACCCTGCATTTTGGTTCTAGTTCCACTATTTTACACACGTGGCCCTGAGACAATCTGACACTATTTAATACCTTTGGATCTTAGAACTAAATCCCTTTAGCAAGAACACTTCATTTAATGAATAATGTATTGAAGAAACCATAATCATTGACACAGGCTTTTTTTTTCTCTCTGTCTCTCTTTTGCAATTACAGGACTGAAGGATTGAACCCATGGCCTCATGCCTGCTTGGCAAATGCTCTACCACTGAGCTACATCCCCAGCACAGTTTGTTTTGTTTTGTTTTCTTTTTTTTTTTTTTTTGGTACAAGGGATTGAACTCGGGTCCTTGCGCTTACAAAGCAGGCCACTGAACCGCTGAGCTAAATCCCCGGCCCTATTTTGTTTTGTTTTCTTGAAATAGGGTCTTACTAAGTGGCTAGCCTCAAACTTGTGGTTCTCCTGCCTCAGCCACCCTTGGAGCTGAGATTACAAGCATGTGCAACCATACCCAGCTGAAACAGCTTTCTAAATGGAAACTATACAATTTTTTTTCATGTTACATAATTTCAATTTAATCTTACTACATCAGGATAACCTGGACATGGTGAAATCCAAGCCAAAAACCACAAGGTGAGTCTGCAGAAGCAACACTTTAAGCATCACTTTTCAGATATTCTTTCACTGCCTCTTTCAAGACAAGAGTTTAAAAATGTGTGACATTCGAGGTTTACAATCAGAAGAGCTGTCAAAGTGCCAAACACACAGTTATATTAAATTCAAATAATAATTCATGCAGTTTACAACTTATGTCAAATTTATTCAACTGGCATCACAGTATTATTCAATAATAAGAAATACAGGCAAATTTTACTCCATATATCACAATATGAATCAAACTAACAATTAGGAAAGCATAGTGTGCCTCAGTGTAACACTAGACTCATTTCTTCAAATTTAAGTTACTCGGAACATATTAATTACTTAAATCTTTACATATTCCAAAAATTTATGGCAAAGAACTGCATAGAATGTAAACAGAGCTTTGTTTTTCTTTAAAATTCTGTGTTTAAGATGAATTAAGTCCTTGCCTCTTGTACAAAGACTCAATCAGCTTTTAAAATACTCCTGTAAAGTTTTCCACTTTACCTACTTCGAAGCCCTCCACACTGTCCAAGATCACCCAGTCTCAGGATCCTGACTAGCTAACAGAGTTATTTGGTTTTATTATGTGTTACCATCTTGCAAATGTTAGGAATAGAATTTATATCAGATATATTTTAAGGTTTTCAAAATTTCATATTATGCTTTCAACTAAATGAAATACCCCAAGAAAAAAGTAATAACTATTGTATCAGGTTTATCCTTTACACAACAGACTATCTTAGGCTGAAGCATACCATGAAAGTACACATTGGAGTTGGTCATGGTGGCCTGTGCCTGTAATTCCAGCACTGTGGGAGACTGAGGCAGGAAGATGGCAAGTGCAGGCCCAGCCTAGGCAACTGAGTGACTTAGTGAGACCCTGTCTTAAAGTAAAATATGAGAAAAGTGCTGGGACAGTGGCAAAGGCCCTGGGCTCAGCTCCCAATACCATCAAGAAAAGAAAAAGGCACTCTTGGGTTTACTATACTTAAATGGATAATAAATCATTAATATCATTCAGAATCTGGTACATATTACAAATTCTCCAACTGCCTCAAAGATGATATTCGTTTTTCTCAAATCACACAAATCACAAACATTCCACACATCACTGCACTGTTTTATTATGCCAAAGTATATACTGTATTGTAGAAAATATGCATTGTGTATATGTGTGGGGGGTATGTTTTTACACACATGTGTGCACTATTAAATGAGAAACATGGTCATGAATGTGGTTGGATTTTGCACATTTGTCATATTGATAGTTTCTCTGCCAACCTTATGATTTCTCTAAATTAATGCTTGATTTAATTCATAGTCATTTGGGAAGAATATTACATATGTACTGATGTTAAATTCTATCATTATGCTTATAAAAATATAATAAAAATAAGTATGGGATATAATAAAATAGAAACAGAAAAATCTGATTTTAAAAATGTGAACACTTTTAGTTGTTTTTGGATTTCAAATATAAGTATATTTCTTTTCTGTGGGAAGTTTTGTTAGAAAATGCAAGTGATACAATCAACAAGCATATGATATTTATCAAATTAATAAAACCAAGGCGTTTATAAATCATAAAATTTTGAGGACAGTTTCTCAACTATAATATGTAAATTTGTTTTATTTGTAAATACATTATTTCAAAAACATTATATGAAAAGAAAATGAGAAAACATATAATGTTTGAAGATCATATCAAACTAATAATGTATTTGGATTATCAGTCTGTGTTGCATAAATTTTTATTTATTTCATATCCTTTTTTACTGTCATATATATGTATATTTGAAATTTTTATTTAGTAGCTTCATTTCTTGTTGTCATGTATGTTTGCAATCTTTAATAAAAAATGACTTCCTTCCTCCCACGAACATATAAAATAATCCAACATGCAAAATTACTCGTTATTAACAATATATTAATATTATTTGTTAATTAAATTTCTTCTATTCAAATGGTTGAGCCTACTTCTTCCAGTTCAATATGAATGGTATTTACTTCTTCATGTAACAATTTAATTACAAAACTCAATTTACTTACCTTTTTCAGGCCAGCAAAACCTTCAGATTCCAGAAAGAAAAAGGCAAAGGGCATCAATACAAATAAACAAAGATTGGAAAAGAGAGAAGCAAGATTCCACAAACCTATAAAGAAGATAACAAGAAAGAAGAAAATCAGGTTAAATATTAACAGGTCTTTTCAAAGTTCACTAAATTGTGTTTATCAAGACCTATACTTTTGTTAGTTTTTTTTTTTTTTGTGGGGGAGGGTGGGGGGTAATGGGGATCAAACTCAGGACCTTGTGCTTTTGAGGCAGGCATGGTACCAGTGAGTTAAATCCTCAGCCCAAGACCTATATATTTTTTTTTTAATTTTTGGTACATGTTTGCAGTACATAATGATTATATATATGCATCATGGGGAGTTGGCACACATACCTAACATATCTTTATTATTTTTATTTTTTCTCTTCCAAGATTTTACTTTTTGACAGTAAAAATAAACATAAACTTTAAATGATAGTTATTATTACTTAGAAATCAAAATATTTATTTATTTATTCTTATTTAAACTTCTCTGACTTATAACTTGTGGCCATCAGGAAAAGCCAGTACAGAAATTAATGAGTTTTTCTTCACACCCTAAAATAAACTAACTAAGGAGATGACATGTGCAGAGACCCAAAGACATGGTTCTTTAGACACACAGGCACCAGAATATTTAAATTAGAGCCACCAGCCTTTACTGAGTACTTAATAAATGCCAGACACTCTGCTCTGCATTTCACACGCATAATCCCATTTAATTTAAGCCCCATAAAAACCCTAAAAATATTAACTAGCATTTACTGAGCCTTATGTGCCAAGCACCATTCTGAGCAATTTTCAGGTCTCCCATAAACTCATTTGCTCCTCACACAGTCCCCGAGGCTGGTGGTCCTGCTCCCTGACAGCAGGCAGCAGAGGCTGCTGTGTCACAGGCCGAGGCAGCAGAAACTGCAATGAAGAGCAGGCTCTATACCTGGGATCTTGAAAACCACTACATCACAAAAGTTCTAGGAAACAATTCCAAGCAGAAAGGAAAAAGGAACAGAGGCAAGCAAGCTTACATAGCCAATTCTCTCTCTGGCACATCAAAGCTCCTTCATAAAGCCACAAAAAAACAGCCACTGACGTAAGAGAAGAAATTCAGGTGTGTCACTAGAAGAATGTTTGGCCCAATATCACCCACTTTTTACAGGTAAGGCTCCAAGTTTCAAAATGACAGCTATAATCTCTAAAAAAGTTAATAAAATCAACAGCCAAACATAAAAATTACACTAAAAACAAAGTCAGTGAACTGCGTGCAATATTAATTCAACGTTCTTAAAAAACAGACAACTGATGTTCTTTCCAAACCTTTACTGATAGGCAGTGCTCAGAGCACTGGAGATGAAGGTGGAGCAAACACAGTAACTTTGCCCTCATGTGCTAGGAGGTGGGGTCCACACAAGTGCTCTCAGTGAGCAAAGAGTGCCAAAGTACCTGTCCCCAAGTAGTACTTCACTTACAAACTCATGTACAAGTTTTACAGTAGTACCTCTTTACAGTAGGATTACACTTAGTCCCTTGGGATAGTGAAGGTACAAGGAATCACTGGGCATAAACAATCAATTTAACACATGCACAGCTTATAGAGAAAGATCTGCTTCTTTTAGTTGAGAAAGTAATGCAATTAATACAATCAATTTAGTTTCTTAGCCAAAAATCTTGATGATGTACTGAATTTACAATATGCATTTATCTTTACAAAAAGAAAATGTTTTATAATTTTTTAGGAAACTATAATCTTAATATTGCTCAGCGCAAAACAGATTTGAACTTGTTAAAGTAACTGCTCTAAAATACTTTTAGCCCTTAAAAACACAAAAAGCTTAACACTTTTATCCATTTCTTTGTTCATAGGGATTGTAATTACAGTCAATAACTTTAATGTCCCAGTAATAGGAAAGGCACACAGAGTGATGGCTAAATTTACATACTGTTTGGAGACCTTGCTATGTCACAGGTTCACCATCTAAACGAAGCTTATCACATGTCTACAGGTGTTGTTTAGCATTAAACAAGCTATATGTACAAGAACCGGAACAGTGCCTGTCACAAAATAAGCCTTTAATGGTTTTCTGTTTTCATTAGCACTTTCTTCACAGAGGCTACTAGAATACAGTGCTATTAGCTTCCATAGCAAGCTCCTATCCTTTGGAATACCCAGCTCATTTCCCAGTTTCTCCTTTCACCTTCCTCTCTGCCAGGTATATTGACTCCTAACTTCTTTTACTAGCAATCTGCAAGTGTCCATCCACAATCTTTCCCTCCCTTCAGCAGGCTGTGGGTACCACAGCTTTGTAAGAAACGTATCCAAAGTGAGACTAAAGCCTAGGTCAAAGCTGGGAACTCCAGGATCCAGTTTGTAAACTTTAGGGCAGAGTCTGTGGTTTCCATTTTGGGTGCTCCACAGCATTTTCTCTTCTTTAGGGTTTCTGAGTTATTTCACATACATGAAGCAAGACAGTAATTAGTAATATGTGAATTATTACATACAAAAATGATTACTCTTCAGAGGCTGGGGACTGTTAATACGTTGCTTTGTTTAGGCATGGTGGAAAAAAGATATGCCAGTTTTAAGACATTTATGTTATAAAAGATAAAAGTCATCATGTCATAGATTACAATTTACACGAGACAGTTTTAATCCAATTAAACATCATACAATCCTTTCAGAAAACTGTAAAAAAATATGATCTACTATTTGTTAAATACCTTAAATTGCAGGTATTGTGCTAGACACACTAGACTACTACCTAATCCTTTGTCTGCTATCTTATCATTAGGTATCTCTAAATCTAAGTTCCACAACATATATACATACTTGTCTTCCTTACTTATGATCTCCCAATGTCTGTTTTAGTGCTGAAGAATCAATAACAGAGTTGCATGAATGAACAACATTATATTATAGAGCTAAATGTTAGCAAGGCAACACTCTCCATGGCAAAGTTCACAGGCCAAACACTATGGGAGTAGCCTTAGAATTAATTTCCAAAGCTAGGTGTGGTGGCGCACATCTGTAATCCCAGCACTTGGGAGGCTGAGGCAGGAGGATCGACATGAGTTCAAGGCCAGCCTGAACTACACAGTGAGACCCTGTCTCAAAAAAACAAAAAATAAAGAATTAATTTCCAATTGTTAGTGCAAAATGAAGAAAATATGTATATACAAAAAATAAAAATATTAATTTAACAGCTTTATTGAGCTCTAACTCACATGAAATAAGCTATGCATAAAGTGCTATGGCTTAGATATGGTTCAAGTGTGTCCTCCATGAAGGTTCGGGTGCTGGGAGCTTGGTCTCCAGCGTGGCAATGTTTAGGTGATATAACCTTTAAACTGGGCCTGACAGAAAATGAGATTCTGAGGGTGGTGCTGCCCTTGTGAAGGGATGAATGGTTTGTCAGGGGAGCATAGCCTCACTCTTGCAGGAAGTCCAATGAAATCAGGTTGTTACAGAGGCCACCCCATGCTCATGGCCCCTTCCACGTGTGGCTGGTTCACTTTCCGCTTCTCTTCTTGTGTTATCCAAGGGGGGGAATCATGCCTGTGAATCCCCAGAACTGCAAGCTGAAGAGCTCTTTTCTTTTTAACCCAGCAGTGTGATGTTTTGTTATAGCGATATAAAATAGACTAACACATAAAGTATACAACTCGGTAAGCGTTAGCACAGAAACATACTGGCAACATCACCACAATCAGGTTAATGGCCATGGCTATCCCCTCTGAAGTTCCTCATAGAATCCCCAACTCCTACCACCCCTCACCCTTACCCCATCCCGTCAGCCAATGACTCTGCATTTTAGAAAATAATTTTCTAAAACTTTATATAAAATGGGTGGTATGGTTTACACCCTTGTTTTTGTCTGGCTTCCATCACCAACCACAATTACTTTGAGATTTTTCAACACAGATCTGTGTGTCCATAGCATCAATCAGACTGAAATGTTACTGAGTTACACCCACCTGGAAACAGGCATCAGGGTCATTCACAATTTGTTACTGCTACAAACAAGGCTGACATCGATGCTCACGCAGAAGCCTTTGTAATAGACCTATTTTCTTTTGGGTAGGTATGTGGGCATGGAATAGCTGGGTCATGTGGTAGGTGTGTATGAAATATTTTAAGAAACTGCCAATATATTTTCCAAAATGGCTGTACAGTATACCCCTGCAAAATCGCAGTTCAGAGTTTGAAGCCTCAGTTGTTTGAGGATTTTTCCTTAGAAATTGCTCACAAAAGCCCCCACAATTTAGTAGAAACTGCAAATATCCTCCACAACTGTATTTTGGCGGAGGTTTTCAAGTAGCCAATCTGAGACCATTATTCAGTTCTCCTTGCTGTTGATTGGCTACTGCCCTATAACCCATCTCCTGCAGATGGGCCAGCATTCCCATATCGTAACAGGTTGCTGTACTGCCTGTAGCTATCTCAAACATTCTTGGTTTTGTTCTTCATAAACCCCTAAGTTCCCTATGACGCTGCCAAAATGACTTGCACCTTCTAAGGCTTTTGTTAATATTTATTAGTATTTTATTAAATTATGTAACTGTGGGAGACAGCATATTTAGGATTTAAACTATAAAAATAGGCCTATATATGCATTTTTCTGACCATAGCTGAAATTAGTGGTTTTTCACAATTCAAGATGCTCTAGGAATATAAACTCTGTGAATTTCAAGAGTCCACTATATTTTACATTCAAATCGACACAGCTTGAGTTCATTCACATTCTCACTGTAATTTTAGCCATTTCAACAAATGCATGGTGGCATCTTGTTGCTACTTTAATTTTCATTTTCCTAATAATCAGGGATGTGTAAATCTGTTCAAAAGCTTATCTGCTATCTATTTATGTATTTTTGGCAGAATGTCTGTTGCTCACTGTATCACCAGATTGTTTTCTGAATGTTAAGTTTGTAGAGTTCTTTATATACTTGGAATACAAGTTTTTATCAAGTATGTGACCTACAGATATATTCTCCCAGTCTGAGGACTCTCTTTTCATTCTCTTAACTTTCAAAGAACAAAGTTTATTAAAATTAACAAATTTATC